CGGTAGGAAGAGGTGATGAGGACAGAGAAAGACGAGCAAGTGAGGCTTGCGAAAGCGAAGGGGACGGAGGCTGGCGATGTGGTCGACGGAGAGAGCGAAGTGCAGGCGCTTTGTCACTGTGTCGGACCCCGGCTATTGCCGAGAAGCCGACCCACCGAGATGGCCTGGAGCAAAATTCGGACTCTCTCTTCTCCCTCCCGAATACCTTAGGTACTCAAAGTCGCTCTACATCTGCGAAGGAGAAGGCACTAAATACTATGCATAACAAAAGCATGCTGAGTGTGTCTTGTCGCAGACGCACGATGGGGTCAACAATACGTGCGACAACACTCAGAATTATCTCCCGGTCGACGTTGCCTTTCCTTCTCCCCACCACACATGTCACAGCCCAATAGTAAGGATAATTTTGTTCCCAGTGGATCCTACAGGTAGAGCAATAGATATGCCTAACTCCCGACAGCAGTATGAAGATGCGGCGTTTCTACAACACCTGCTTCGCAACCTGCTCCCAGATTGCGAGGGGCTTGTTGACGCTGTGGGTATACAAGTCAGCGAAACAGTATTCCAAATGGTCAAGAAGCCACGCACATATCCGCAGTGAGATGGAGGTTGACATCGGCCGGGTGGTTCTGCCACTCTGAACAGAAAGACGAATGTTAGCAAGCGTACAAAAGACCAGGTTGCGCCAATCGACGTACCCTCGGGCTCGTTAGGGTTGTCGATGCCGAATCCGAGGCGCCAGGTGATGCCCTGGACGCTGTTCGTCGTGCTGCGGTAATAGAGGTCAGCACTACATCCAGATAACAAGAACCTCGTACTCACAAGTCAGGAGGCGCGAGCGGGTGGTCCTTGAGGCCAGTGGTCACAATCTCCGAGTCAATGGTAGAGTAGTCCGTGGACTGCCCACCGACGGTACCGCAGTACTGCTGCGGCACAACGCTCCTACCACCATAGACAACGGTCTTTGCGCCCTCCTCCTTCGCCATCGTGATCTGCAGTTACGTGTTCTCAGCTCCGTGCCTCTCGACGATGATAGACATTGAAATAGACTTACGCTGAACAGCGAGCACGAGCTAGCACAGCGGCCATTACCGAGGACAACGACCTTCTTCGGGTCGAACAGCGCCTCCGCCGGGGGATCAAGGGAGAACGGCTGGCACTCCTGGCCGAGGCGCTGACTGAACGCGTCCTGGCGGCCGTTGATGGTCTTCTTGACGGGGTCCGCGAGCCAGTCGTAGCCTGCAGGCATAGCGGTGTTGTTCGCGAACGACCAGCTGATGGAGTTGTAGAGGAGGAAGCCGTTGGGATCCTTGCCGGAGACAGCAGCCTTAGCGATGAGTTGAGCGAGGGGACCTGCGCGAGTCTCGGTATCTAGGCCGGCCTGAGGCACGCTGGTGTCCTTGGGCCCGACGATCTGGAGAGGCTGTTAGCAGGATGACAGAGTATTAGTAGTACAGACGAGTACTAACGATGCGATGAAGCCACTACAATGTCTGCGTCAGCTTATACACCAACGCGAGTGTAGAGGTTGAAACTCACGTGTGCGACACAGATATATCCGCCACCGTTGTTCGACTACTCCCGCATTCAGTCCCATGAAAGAATTGACAGCGGGCTATACACTCACGATGTCGACGATGAGCTGGCTCGCGCCCTGATTCTTCAGGTTCTGCAGACCTGTAAGGAGATTCTCCAAGAGGTTGTTGAAGGTATCGCCTGAGAAGCTACCAAGCGCGAGCACGCCCGTCTTCTTGTCGCTGAGCATGTGGAACTGGACTACCGACGAACTGCCCTCGAGCGGGTTGCTCGGGGTCAACCCGGGTGGCAGCGCGACGTCTGTCTGAGGCTGAAGGTCGAGCATGACATTCAAGAGATGTTTACGCTCCTCCGACGCACTAGGCATGGGGGCCTGGCGGAACTTATCAGCAGGGTTCTGGCGGAACGTGCTGCGCTTCGTCATGCTGTCGTCGTAGTAATTAAAGCCATTTGTGGATTCGACGGCCTTGCAGTTGTTTTGACGGAACTCCGCCGAGTTGGCAAACTTGACGCTGCTCGTGCCGAAGCGAGAGCGGTAGGGGAGCTGTAGAGATGCGCATGAGACGGAGTGCCAAAATGCCAACCAAGGTAGATACGTACGGTGATAGTCTCAATCTTCGTGGTGTTCACGCGCTGGATCGTGAGCCTGACCGAGTCCGTAAGCGGGAGGGACTGCTGTGCGAACTGGCCCAGGGTGTACGTCCAGCCAGTAGCACCAGCGTTATAGCTCGAGAAGAACCTTGGGCGGCGACTTAGCAGTCAGTGTGCGGGGACAAGGATAAGACTCACCCATTTTCGCGCTGAGCGAGACCCTGGTAGCTACCGCTGATCTTGGCGTTGGCATCGACAGCCAGCCAGGGGTCCAAGCCGTTGATTGCGAGCACTTTCGCTCCGGAGAGCTGGTGATATAAGGTCCTCCGGTCAATATATAGTACGAACAGCATGGGAGGCTACGTACCGAAGCAAGCTGGCCCTTCAAAGAGGCCGGAAGCGCATTCTGCCATGTCTGGATTTCGTCTCCGAACTCAGCAGACGCGACGGTGAACGCCTCGGGGGCGATATGCACCGTCTGGATACCGAACTTATCGGTTAGGAGTACTAAAGGAGTGGGTAGGTACGATAAAAAGAGCGCTAGATGCTATGTTAGTTCCACATTATCAGGCGCACGATTGTACAGCCTAGTACTCACAATCGTAGCAGTAGTTGATGTAAACGCAGTGACCGTCGTTCAGGCGTTTGAGTGTGCGCGAGAGGTCAATGTGCAAATCAAAGTCGGACGCGTAGCTCTGCGAGCTGATGCGCGCGAGGTCCGCGAGGAGGTCCTCGTGCACATCGAGCGTGAAGGGCGGGGGCGCGAGCTTCTGGTAGTTGACCGACGTGTGGAACGCGAGGGTCTTGTTGACAACCTCGATGATCTGGCGTGCACAACGAAACAATCCGTCAGATTCACGTAGGTGAGACACGCCAGGTGCGACATATGCAACTCACCCTGGCCTTCTCCTCAGGATCCACAGGGAAGGAAGTGAAGCACGCGCGAACATCCGCAGGGCTGGCCCAGGTCTGGTTCCCGATGACCGCGCAAGGATCCGACGCGCGAGCCTCGAGCGCAGTCGTATCCGCGTGCGCGAACTGCACCGCCGCAAGCACTGTAGAAAGGAGTGACAAGAAACCACCTGCAAGCATGCTGGCGACCGGTTCAGATAGCACAGAGCTGTCGACTGGTGCAGAGAAGGGTCGTGAGGAAAACGATATGTTCACGAGGCCATCTGGTTCTTATATCCCCGGAACGGCTTGGAAGGAAACGACCGACCGACTCCGTGATGGCGATAGCTCTGCAGGCAATGAACGTACTCACTAATCAGTCCGGCCCTTGTTCTCTGGGCAAATTCACTGAGCATGTGGTATCCCTTTGAGTGATTGTTACGGCAGCCACGCGTCTCTGTTCGGTGTTAACGCGTCATGTCCTACCGTATACTGTCGGTCTTCATGGGCTTGTGCGGATGCAACGCGACCCGCACAACACCGTAAAACATGGTCGCTTGTCGGGACAGCAGGAAGCCTAGAAAGTCATCATCATCGGCGCGCGCTTCGACAACAACGCCCGAGTTGTCGAAGGGCCGCCGGCGGTCCGCCACACCATCAGAAGAACGGTCTCTCAGCACATGGCTGCGAACTGTCAGAACAACGCCAAGCCTCGGATTTAACTCGGGCACGACATAAGTTTTATACGTGGACGAGTTGTTTGGGAGGAGATTGCGAGACTGCAGTGCTGGACCTGCAAGGGGCGGGAGTAGAGATGCCAAGATCGGAGTCGTCACCAGACTCCAAACCAGTCCACCTTGCGTCGTCGTTCAATATATCCTACAGCGGGGGGGGGGGGTCGAGGATGCGTATGGAGGAATGAGGATAATTTAAAGGTTACCGTACCTTTAGCCACATGACTTTGAGACTCCGCACTGGTGTCCGGTTGATGGCCGCAGCATAGCATTTGACCGCAGACTCAAGTTTTGAAACTCCTAAACCTTGTGTGTTGAAGAATGCGTCGTCTTCAACACACAAGGTTAAGGAGTTTCAAATCTGAGTCGGGACCAAGTCGGGACCTCAATTTTGAGTGCTGCCATCAATCGGAGGATAAGCGGTCCCTGAATATGTGTGTAGAGTACGGTACTACTTCCTCCTCCTCCTTCGCACAGATTTCACCTCGTCCCCCACTGCGAGGATTTATTGAACGACGACGCAAGGCGGGGTGGTTAGGAGCCTGAGTCGTCACGTATTTCGAGCGATGGCGGGCTCTCGCACTGCCGCGGTTTCGGACAATGTCGATCACCTCGCACTCGTAACGCGAGTTCGGACAAGACAAATATCCCAACCCTGGGTCCATGCAGCCTCTGAAATATAGACGTTCACCGATTCAGACGAATGTATCCCCCACAGGGAGAGCCTCTGGTGCACAGTACTCACATGGAAACATCTGAAAGTATCAAAGCCTGCACAACTCCGGAATCCGCATTTTGCTCAACTCATCCATTGACGAGCTGGTGAGGACCATCACAGACACTCCTATGCAGCAACGATCGAAATGCAATCGCACAAGATCAGGGCAACAATATCAGGATGCGACTGCATGAGGTCAGGAATTTTCCTATCATGTATCTTGCCCCACTCTCTAGCCTCCGACCAGGTCGTCGACAAGTATACAATAGACAGAAACAGCTCACAAAGCACAACATGCATGCTAGACACCCACAAGGTCGGCATTATGTTATGTCGTCGTCAAGCGTTATCCGAGTTGGCTCCGTGTTGTCCGCGAAGTGATCGATTCGGAACTTGCGCCATAGATGGCGTCCCTGGTCGAAGGGCCACCACAGGTGAATCTCCTTGACGGACGGACTGAGAATGCACGCGAGGGTTTCCGCAATGACGTGCAGGTGATGGAGGAAGGTCTTCCTCGCGTGCATTTCATACGCCCACTGTGTCTCATAGCCGCGCTGCGCAGGAGGCATGGAAAAGTTCGGCAGAGGCGTGTTCTCCAAGTCCAGATAGACATTCAGAACACGGAGGGCTGCGAGCGACGAAAGTAGCCGAGCAAACTCTTCCTGTATCGCAAGCGACGTGAGATGCCAGATACAAGCCACGCCGATGCCAGACTCACCACTGCGATGTCGCCGGTGTCCGGTGCCCTATATCGATATATTTGGAGTATTTGAATCTTCGGTAATGCAGATGACATGAAGCCGAGCAGGGTGCTCTCGCTCTCGTCAGCTCGATACTCCAGATGCAGCTCTGAGAGGTCCCGCGCGCTACAGCACCGCAGGATAGCAAGCATCTCCGAGGACGTCTGTAGGGGGAAACGGTACCGGTGCATATGGTCGTTGAAGGCTCGCTCAGCCGCATGGGGGCAGCAGGATAGGGAGAGCACCTGGAGGCATTGTGGAAGGCGAGCGTAGATGGGATCGCGTGCCACAGGATGCGACACGGAGAGTTCTTCCAAGTGTGGCCACGGACAATCGTCCGCGTGGTCATGGTCCACAATCGGTCGCGGCTCGGCATCCGCGGACAAGGTGAGCTCGAGAACGAGGACACGCAGGTCTCGCATCCCGGAGAATAGCGTAGCGTAAGGTTTGGATGGTGTCTTCCATTGTGCTCCACGTAGTCGCAACTCGCACAGGCGGGGCCAGTCCAACTGGGTCAGAGCCTCAGTTGGAACTAGCTCAGCGGGCAGGGTCAGAACCTTCAGCGAACCGCAGAGCCTCGTGAGAAACAGAGTGACGTTCGCTTTCTCAGCATCAGTAGGAGCATACCTCCGTGATACGCTGCGTTCATGGTGGAACAGGGTCAGAGGTGCAAAGATCGTGTGGTCATCGGAGGAAGAGGATTCAGTCTGGGAGAGGAGTAGGTGGATGATATGGATACTTCGCGCAGCTGAGGTAAGGCGAGGATTGACATCGAAGCTGACAACGACACGTCGTGTATGTAGGAAGTGCCTTCTGCAAGGATTAGAGAGATCTTGGTAAGGCGTGGGATGTGTCGCAGAAGGCTGAACAGCTTGGGACTCCCCAGCACCCCGCACAGGTACCGGTCTCGGGCAAACATAAGTCCCCTATAAGTATTTGACGCTGTGTGCATTCTGTTAGGACAATTGTCCACCACCGTGAAATGTCTAATTCGATTCGACGTCAGCAATGAACCGGAGAACGGGAAGTTTACTCACCTGATGTACGGCCACCGGAATTCCTTAAGAAACCGCCTCTTGCTTTTAATTGGTCGGTCAATGCAGCGGGTTGCGTGCGAGAAGATAAGGGGTACGCAGAGCGTCCGGAGGTACCGGCAAGTTGCTGAGAGCGAAACCAGGTCTTTAACGGACTCGATACTTGCGATGATGCATGCTAGGACATCGAATATCAGATCATCTAGTCTGTTGCAACGTAAGTTTCCTCGCGTTGTTTGATATGCTCAGAACCGACCTGTATGGAGTAGACTCAGACATCGTGATCATGGCTGGAGATGCTGTGGGATAAGGACGAGGCAGACGCTCAGGGTCAGGACAAATGTGAGCGCCGTAACGCGACGCGTCACATGTGACCGTACGCGTTTCACGTTGCAGCGCGCCTCGCGCTCACCACACTTACTTTTGACCCCCACCATCACCTCCCCGTTTGCCGCAATTTCGCTTGAACTTCCCCACCAATTACCTCTAGAGCCATGGCCGTCTCAGAATCTGAGCCCACTACCCCTGACATCATGCTCGCGTTCTACCGCCGACTCTACCCATTCAAATCCATCTTCGCCTGGCTAAACCACGAGCACGCACCCACCAAGCTTTTCACCCACCGGGAGTTTGCCTTTACACTGCAAGGAGACGTGTATCTGCGGTATAACTCGTTCGCGAATGCCGATGAGCTGAAGAAGCAAGTTTGCGCCCTGAACCCGACGCGTTTCGAGATCGGACCGGTATACAGCGCGAGGGTGAGTCCTGCAGAGTTTAATTGGTACTTTGTGGAGGTAGAAGTGAAGGATCTTGAAAGGATAGCGGGGCATATGAAAGAGAGATGCTGACATAAACTGCAGCCAAGAGACAAGAAGACCGTACGCCCTGCCGCTTTCAGCCCACAACTCCGCGAGCTCGTCTTCGATATCGATATGACCGATTACGACTCCATCCGTACATGCTGCTCCGGAGCCGATATCTGCCGTCGCTGCTGGACGTTCATCGCGGCGGCTGTACGCGTGCTCGACCGGGCACTGCGAGACCAATTCGGATACAAGCACCTGCTGTGGGTGTACTCGGGTCGACGTGGTATCCACTTGTGGATCAGTGACCGAGAGGCACTCGAGCTCACCGACGATCAGAGGAGAGCACTTGTGGGTTGGTTGACGATCATCCAGGGAGGCAAAGAGATGCATAAGAAGGTGAATGTGAGGATCGGAACGATGCCACTCCCGCCGTCGATTGCGTGCGTATATTTTTGTCCGGCGAACCGCGCGTGTGTTGACTGTTGTCTTAGTTCCGCATACAAGATGCTACAACCCGTATTCCACGACCTGATTCTGGAGGACCAGGATTGCTTTGCGTCCGAAGAGGGTTGGCAAGCGCTCCTTCACCTCATCCCCGACAAGGACATCGTCAAGAGCCTCCAGGAACTGTGGGAAGACAACCCAGACCGGTCTTCAGAGGACAAGTGGCAGGATCTTGAGGACGAGATTGAGAAGAAGCGAGGAAAGGGTTTGGTGCGTTTCCGCTACTCATCCATCCTCATATCATCACTTACGAGAGACGGGCTCGTCAGGTAATTTTGACCGCAGCCAAAGAAGATATTATCCTGCAGTACACATATCCACGACTCGACGCGGAGGTCTCGAAGCATCGGAACCACTTGTTGAAGGCGCCGTTCTGCATCCACCCAAAAACCGGTCGGGTCTGCGTGCCTGTGGATCCCCGAACGATATCCAAATTTGATCCTGCGGAGGTTCCGACCGTTAGTCAACTGCTCAACGAGCTCGATAAGCTCGCTCCTGTGCAGTCTGGGGAAGGCGCGGAACACCACGCTGACTGGGAAAGGACGTCGCTGAAACCGTACGTCGACATGCTCGACAAACATGTCATGGGCTTGATGGAGGAGACACGGAAAGTGAAGCAGAAGATGGGTACGTCAACCTTCTGTCTACTTGCGCGAGGTACGCTTGTTTACTGATGCTTACTACTCAGACATGTCCTGGTGATCGCTGTTGTAGTTCGCTATCTCCGTTGTGGTTTGTATACTATCATCCGGTCGCTTGCTATGTCATGCTTTCAATCGCTTGCTAATGGCGATCAGGGCCGATCGCGTCGTTCGCGTGGAAGACGCGCCTCGTCACATGTGACTGGACGCGTTGCGACGCGTCTCCCTTGGTTTCAAGTTCCTGGCTCCCTCTACCTCAGCGATGGATGCGCGATATCCCGTGACTTTGATACAGCATTCACTATAAGGCGTGACCATCGCTTCGTTGCGAGGACTTAGAAAGTCCACGAGTCACTTTGTAATCCTCCCGGAGCCGCGCCTGGGCGTCTCCTATATGGCGCTATTGGCGTTCACCTTGTGCTCGTCGCCCCTTCGCGGGTTGAACAAACGTTCACATTTCTCGAGTACGTCCCCTGCCGTGTACTGCAATTATGTATGTAGCTCGTACCAGCACCTAGGGAGATTGTCCGGGGTAATCATGATGGACTAATAAGCAGTAGCCTTGTTGAAGTTTCTTATCTTATCTAATTATACCATTAGTCCGTGCCGAAGATACCGGCAAACGCGCGCTGTATATGACCAAGTCGACATCTGGCAGAGACGTCCACCCTGACTCTCGACAGCGGTTCCGACTGCCATCGGACGCAAGTTTCGTCCTTTTATCCGGTCTGAGGAGCTCGCGCGGTCCTTGTCTTCGTCCCACCACCTACTGTCGGCCATGCCGGCGTACCAACTTCCTGTGGCCATCTCGCTGACCGTGGCAATCGTCCCGAGTCTCGTCGGACGCCTCGCATCCGGAACGAAGGAGAAGAAGACTGCACTCCCGACCTTCGCAGAAGGAGAAGAGGGCCTCATACGGGATCCATTCGATGTCACGAAGCCGGAGGATTTTATTGACGGGACGCCTATAGACGAGGATGGTTTCTGGACGCGGGTACGTGGTCACTTCTAGCCAGAGACTATTTGCGACGAGTTTGATGCCGTGGCGAATGCCCTGGGACTGGGCAATGCAAGCGGCTCAGGTTGCTCGGCATACTGGACCCCGCCGTGCGAGCAGCTGGAAAGTTCACTTCCGCAACCGTACAACGACCGATGAGACAGACTGGAACCTATTGCAGGTATAGACTATCTGCAGTGGGTTCAGTGCTGTAGGGGATGATTCATCGATTGGCCGTGGTGTCTCGAAGCATGCCCTGTGTACAGTTGACCCCTCTTGCTTGCAAGAATTGCTTCGCGGACTGTCACTAAGAGATACTTGGAATCCTATGGTTTGACTCCAGCTCCGCATAGCGCGTATAAGTATGGAAACCAGTGTGAAACTCATCGCAAATACTCTCTCATAGTCTAAGAGCCGTGGCGTTAAATAACTCTCAATCCATCTAGATGCGGCTGAGGAAGCTCACGGTTTCCATCCTACTTGCCGCTATCCTCGTAATCCAATCTGTCTGCTTGGGCTGGGCAATCACCGAGGATGACAGACTTAACATTGCCGTCTACTCTCTGCATATCGCTTTCGCGCTCTACACCCTCGTTCTGTCTGCTCTCTCCATCAATCAGACGTACTCGGCGCATTCGCAGTCCATCATCCACCTGTGCGGCCTCACCTTCGTTGCAACCTTCCTGCTTGGCACCACCGCGATACTTCCCTCCACTCCTTTCCCGGGAACTGGTACCTCCATCCTCAGCATCGCCGGCGCTCCGTTGACTCTGTGGTACACTGCGGTAGCCATGTATGCGGTGTGCTTCCTCATCGTCGTAACGTGTCCTCGAGGGCCTTGCCTTCACTTCCCGTCCGAGAGTATCTACTCTGAGAAGACACTCATGCAGATCACGTCCAAGTACGAGGACAACGTCTGCGGTATCACGGGCGCATCCGTGTGGGACGTCTTGTTGTTCTCGTACACGACAAAGGTTGTCATGCTTGGAAACGCCTCTGAGAGTCTCGAGATCGGCGACCTCCCCATCGTCGCCGCGGACATGCGCGCTACCACCCTCTTCGCCAGTATGCGTGCCGCGATTCGCCGTTGGAAGCTTCGCATCGGGTCGTGGCACCCTCAGCCTGGCTCTGGGATCGAGCTTGCGTACCGTCTATTGCGTGTGAACGCGTGGACCATGGCCATGATCATCTTCCTTGCCATCATATGCGCGATCATGTTTTATGTACCTGCGTTCTTCCTCCAGCGCGTGGTGCGCTATCTCGAGGTTGACCCCGGGCGTGAGTCCCGAGGCTGGGGATTTGTGTTCTGTGCTGGGCTATTCGTGAGCAACGCCATGACGCAACTTCGTAAGTCAATCGTGAATACCTCTCCGTGCTATGCTCACATGGCGATGTCGCAGTGACTGGTCAGCTTTGGTCGTTCTCGACCACGACGCTGCAGTGCCGCATGCGCATCCAGCTCAACTCAATCCTTTTCGCAAAGACGCTTGTTCGCAAGGACATAGCGTCTGCATCCGCCTCCGAGGCCACCGACAGCGAGAACAAGGACAAGGAGAAGAACGACGACGAGGACGACTTCTCGAGCAAGGCGCAGATCATGACCCTCATGACGACCGACGTTGACCGCGTTTCTGAATTCTCGTGGCACCTGTTCACAATCTTTGACGCGCCCATCGAGATCCTCATCGGCACGCTATTCCTGTACAGTTTGCTGGGCGTATCATGCTTCTTCGGTCTGGCGGTGACATGCTTGTTCCTGCCTATGAACCACTTCGCGGGCAAGGTCGTTGTTGGCGCACAAGATAACTTGATGAAGGCACGTGATGAGCGTGTCTCGCTCATGAACGAGGTACGTTCTCGGTACTCGGTGTTATTGGCACTCAAGACTGACTCTGTACAGATCCTGGGAGGCATCCGCATGCTCAAGTTCATGGCCTGGGAGCGCA